ACATGTCATGTACTAGCCCAAACAATGACATAAAACATGTCATGTACTAGCCAAAACAATGACATCAAACATGTCATGTACTAGCCCAAACAATGACATCAAACATGTCATGTACTAGCCCAAACAATGACATCAAACATGTCATGTACTAGTCCAAACAATGACATCAAACATGTCATGTACTAGTCCAAACAATGACATAAAACATGTCATGTACTAGCCCAAACAATGACATCAAATATGTCATGTACTAGTCCAAAGAATGACATAAAACATGTCATGTACTAGCCCAAACAATGACATCAAATATGTCATGGACTATCCTAAACAATGACATCAAACATGTCATGTACTAGCCCAAACAATGACATCAATTATGTCATGTACTAGTCCAAACAAAGACATCAAACAGGTCATGTACTAGTTCTAACAATGACATCAAACATGCTATGTAATAGCCCTAACAATGACATCAAACATGTCATGCACTAGTCCAAATAATGACATCAAACATGCCATGCACTAGCCCAATTAATGACGTCAAACATGTCATGTACTAGTTCCAAACAATGACGTCAATTATGTCATGTACTATCCTAAACAATGACATCAAACATGTCATGTACTAGTCCAAAGAATGACATCAAACATGTCATAAATATAGCCCAAACAATGACATCAAATATGTCATGTACTAGTCCAAAGAATGACATAAAACATGTCATGTACTAGCCCAAACAATGACATCAAATATGTCATGTACTATCCTAAACAATGACATCAAACATGTCATGTACTAGCCCAAACAATGACATCAAACATGTCATGTACTAGCCAAAACAATAACATCAAACATGTCATGTACTAGTCCAAACAATGACATCAAACATGTCATGTACTAGTCCAAACAATGACATCAAACCACAGTCAGCTGGCGCACACATGATAATAAAATAAATACAATATTTACTATATGGGGCCGCTATCTTGAATGCAGTATAAAACATGTCATGTACTCGTCCTAACAATGACATCAAACAGGTCATGTACTATCCCAAACAATGACATCAAACATGTCATTCATGTACAAGTTCTAACAATGACATCAAACATGTCATGTAATAGCCCAAACAATGACATCAAACATGTCATGTACTATCCCAAACAATGACATCAAATATGTCCTGCACTACCCTAAACAATGACGTCAAACATGTCATGTACTATTCCAAACAATGACATCAAACATGTCATGTACTATTCCAAACTATGACATCAAACATGTCATGTACTAGCCCAACAATGACATCAACATGTCATGTACTAACTAAACAATGACATCAAACATGTCATGTACTAGCCCAAACAATGACATCAAATATGTCATGTACTAGTCCAAAGAATGACATAAAACATGTCATGTACTAGCCCAAACATTGACATCAAATATGTCATGTACTATCCCAAACAATGACATCAAATATGTCATGCACTACCCTAAACAATGACATCAAATATGTCATGTACTGGGCCTAACAATGACATCAAACATGTCATGCACTAGTCCAAATAATGACATCAAACATGCCATGTACTAGCCCAATTAATGACATCAAACATGTCATGTACTAGGCCTAACAATGACATCAAACATGTCATACACTATCCTAAACAATGACATCAAACATGTCATGTACTAGCCCAAACAATGACATCAATTATGTCATGTACTATCCCAAACAATGACATCAAATATGTCATGCACTACCCTAAACAATGACATCAAATATGTCATGTACTGGGCCTAACAATGACATCAAACATGTCATGCACTAGTCCAAATAATGACATCAAACATGCCATGTACTAGCCCAATTAATGACGTCAAACATGTCATGTACTATTCCAAACAATGACGTCAAACATGTCATGTACTATTCCAAACAATGACATCAAACATGTCATGTACTAGGCCTAACAATGACATTAAACATGTCATGTACTAGCCTAAACAATGACATAAAACATGTCATGTACTATCCCAAACAATGACATCAATTATGTCATGTACTAGTCCAAACAATGACATCAAACATGTCATGTACTATCCTAAACAATGACATCAAACATGTCATGTACTAGTCCAAACAATGACATTAAACATGTCATAAATATAGCCCAAACAATGACATCAAATATATCATGTACTATCCTAAACAATGACATCAAACATGTCATGTACTAGCCCAAACAATGACATCAATTATGTCATGTACTATCCTAAACAATGACATCAAACATGTCATGTACTAGCCCAAACAATGACATCAAATATGCCATGTACTATTCTAAACAATGACATCAAACAGGTCATGTACTAGTCCAAACAATGACATCAAACATGTCATGTACTAGTCCAAACAATGACATAAAACATGTCATGTACTAGCCCAAACAATGACATCAAATATGTCATGCACTATCCTAAACAATGACATCAAACATGTCATGTACTAGCTCAAACAATGACATCAATTATGTCATGTACTATCCTAAACAATGACATCAAACATTTCATGTACTAGTCCAAAGAATGACATCAAACATGTCATAAATATAGCCCAAACAATGACATCAAATATGTCATGTACTAGTCCAAAGAATGACATAAAACATGTCATGTACTAGCCCAAACAATGACATAAAACATGTCATGTACTAGCCAAAACAATGACATCAAACATGTCATGTACTAGCCCAAACAATGACATCAAACATGTCATGTACTAGCCAAAACAATAACATCAAACATGTCATGTACTAGTCCAAACAATGACATCAAACATGTCATGTACTAGTCCAAACAATGACATCAAACATGTCATGTACTGGGCCTAACAATGACATCAAACATGTCATGTACTAGCTTAAACAATGACATCAAACATGTCATGTCCTATCCCAAACAATGACATCAATTATGTCATGTGCTAGTCCAAACAGACATCAAACATGTCATGTACTAGTTCTAACAATGACATCAAACATGTTATGTAATAGCCCAAACAATGACATCAAACATGTCATGTACTATCCCAAACAATGACATCAATTATGTCATACACTATCCTAAACAATGACATCAAACATGTCATGCACTAGCCTAAACAATGACATCAAACATGTCATGTACTATCCCAAACAATGACACCAATTAGTCATGTACTAGTCCAAACATGACATCAAACATGTCATGTACTAGTCCAAACAATGACATCAAACAGGTCATGTACTAGTCCAAACAATGACATCAAACATGTCATGTACTAGTCCAAATAATGACATCAAACATGTCATGTACTAGTCCAAATAATGACATCAAACATGTGATGTACTAGTCC